CTTGCAGGGACATTGTATTAGAACCCAGCCTCTTACTTGCAGTTTGGGTATATAGGACTAAGCAAACCTTAAGTGCATTTCTGGTCAGCACAGAAGATTCAGGGCTTAAGCTTTACAGTGCATTTCAGAAATAGGCTCTATTTCTTTGCACTTATTTTTGAGATATTTAGGACTTTGTGTTGAAGTTTGGATTTGACACTGTGTCCGTATGGGTATGTCTACACTAGCCCCCTAGTTTGAACTAGGGAGGTTAATGTAGGCATTCGAAGTTGCAAATGAAGCCCGGGATTTAAATATCCCGGGCTTTATTTGCATCTTCCCGTCAGGGCGCCATTTTTAAATCCCCCTAGTCCGAACTAACTGCCCATGGCTACACGCAGCAGTCAAACATTAACTCGAACTAAGTCCTTCTCATTCATCCTAAATTATTTTTGTATCAGCAATGGGCTGGATGGATCAGAAGATGGCACTGTATTTGCTGATGACACAATGGAGGCTGATGGTAAGGAATCTGAGTCTGACTACAACATTGCTGATGTCTACAACCATGAAGGAGGAACTATGACTGAAACTGAGTTTAATGAACTGTTTGGTGTATTGGAGACTGACTCAGAGTTTGAACGGTTTTAAGACTTTAAATAAGTGCATTAGAATGATATGAGACCTTAAATCATGGATTGTAATTTTGAAGACATGTTTGTTCAGTTAATACAGCAGTTTTTTTGTTAGATTGCATTAAAATAAATTTACTAAAACTTTTGTGCGTTTCTTCTGACTCTGGTTAAGAGCTAGATAGATTCATGGAGGTTAGGTCCATTAGTGACTATTAGCCAGGATGGGTAAGGGTGGTGTCCCTGGCCTCTGTCTGGATGTGGGAGATAGGAGAGGGATCACATGAGGATTACCTGTTGTCTTCCCTCCCTCTTGGGCATCTGGTATTAGCCACTGTCGGCAGACAGGCTACTGGGCTAGATGGACCATTGGTCTTACCCAGTATGGCCGTTATGTTCTTATATAGCAGAGTCTACAGCACGGTCACTTCCCAGCCCAGCAGGAAAATCACTGGTGTGCTGGGATGTTTTATGCACATGGAGCAGGGATTGGCAAAAGCCTCTCAGTGAGCCAGATTTAGCCCACCCAGGGCTTTGATCTGGCTGCGAAGCACTTCCAGGCCCCTCCCCCTAGCGTATTGCCTAGGGCCCAGAGACACGCAAGCCCTTTCAACTGCTTTTATTTAAAGGGCTCGCAGCTCTTGGTTCCACTGGCCTTTTGCTTGGGAGGCACGCGCCTTTTCAATCGCTTCTATTTAAAGGGCTTGTGGCTGCCAGGCAACACAGCCACCCAGCAGGCACAAGGCCTTTAAATAGAAGCAGTTGAAAAGGCTCGTGCATCTCTGGCCCCCAGGCAAAATGTTAGGGGGTGTGGCCTGAAGCTGTTCCAATTGGCAGCCAATGGGAGTTGAGGAAGCAGCATGGGCCAAGGGACGTGCTAGTCGCTGCTTCCCACCACTCCCCTTGACATGGAATGGTAAATGGCAGTGACTGGGAGCTGACAGACTCCATGCCTGCAGACGCTTCACATGCATAAAATGTGCTAGCGGTTTGCCCTAATTGGCAAACTTCAATTTCCAGCCAACCTTTTCCCCCTATGGAAAAAATTCCAGTTACTGACCCATTCATAAGCTGACCCCCCCACTCTTCACAGTGGGATGTTTTTTCCAAAATTCAGCTCAGAAACAAGTATATACTGTTCTCAAGAATGCTATACAATTGTGTTAGTGTTCATAAAACTTGTGTTTGTTTGTTTGTTTGTTAAAGCTGTCTTCACTTTGGCTTGATGAATGCAGAAGTTGGGAGCCCACAAGAGCACTCCAAAACCTTACCTCTTTTTCCCCAAAAGAGCTTGAAAAGAAAAGAGAAAAACAAGCTACAGTCTCTGGTAGCTGACCCCTCAGTCAGACATGAAGATACACACAGACAGACCTCCAGGACACACATCAACCAATACCGGTTACTTAAAAAACCCCAATATTTTATTATCAAAACAAAACTGCAGTTACAAGCATAGTAAATTGGCTAGATGGAAAGAGACACAATTGATATAGATACTCAGGGAAAGTCCCTGAGTTGAAGGCTTAGTTACAAAAGGGAAAAAAGGAACAGTTAGCAAGCTCAGACATCATTTCCAAATCCTCAAACAAGGAAAACAAACCTTGACGAACTAGCTAAACTTTTCCCTACTTACACATTGTAAGAAGTCCGTTCTTGAAGAGAGAAGTGTCTCCCATCTCCCTCAATAGCTGGAGAAACTGTTCTGAATCTCCAACAAAGAAGGGAGAGAGAATAACCCCTTTTCCAGTTTGAAATTCCTACCTGCATTGTTATTGGCTGACCACCCGATACCTTGCTAGTTACAGAGTTAACCCCTTAACAGGCAAGTAGTCAACCTGTGGAACTCCTTGCCAGGGGAGGCTATGAAGGCTAGGACTATAATAGAGTTTAAAGAGAAGCTAGATAATTTCATGGAGGTTAGGTCCATAAAAGGCTATTAGCCAGGGGATAAAATGGTGTCCTTGGCCTCTGTCTGTCAGAGGCTGGAGAGGGATGGCAGGAGACAAATTGCTTGATCATTGTCTTCGGTCCACCCTCTCTGGGGCACCTGGTGCTAGCCACTGTCAGTAGACAGGCTACTGGGCTAGATGGACCTTTGGTCTGACCCAGTACGGCCGTTCTTATGTTCTTAGTTACCAGCTGCTGGTCAGTTTGCATTCCAATCTCTGAAACCTGCCTTTTCTTGTAAGATCATAGCCCAAAGTGTTTAACTCTTCTTTCATGCTGGTTCAGTTTTATTTCAATGAAATTTCTGCTTGTGGAAAGACAGAGCTAAAATCGATAGTTCTTTAAGATTTGCTTTATTACTTAAAAATTTAACCATAGTACCAGACTCCTCCTCCTCAACAGATTCACTGTAGTGCAATCTGAGACAAGGGTCTAAAGCAAAGAATAGTTATTCACTGCTTTGCTCAATGAAAACTGCTCTGTATCCCTCAGGATCAATACCATAATTGTTGCTTATTTTTTGTGCTGATCTGAAATAATGTTTGCCTTTGCCCTGATTTTCTGTAATTTAACCATAGTACCAGACTCCTCCTCCTCAACAGATTCACTGTAGTGCAATCTGAGACAAGGGTCTAAAGCAAAGAATAGTTATTCACTGCTTTGCTCAATGAAAACTGCTCTGTATCCCTCAGGATCAATACCATAATTGTTGCTTATTTTTTGTGCTGATCTGAAATAATGTTTGCCTTTGCCCTGATTTTCTGTCATAGTAACTACTACATTTTAAAAAAATTAGAAGCTTAATTTCTTGTAGTGAGAGAGGAAAGTCAAACCAAAACACTTCAAGGGCACCATATGGAATCTTCCTGTGAAAGGCCTGAAGTACCAATATTAACATGTATATACCAATGGCTGGTATATACATGTCTGTTCTATAGAAGGTGGCTTAAGAAGGCTTTGTGACTTGCTTGGAGTATGACTTGGATGAATGGACTGTAATGTAGATAGAAAGCTAACTAGATTGTTGGGCTCAACAAGTGGTGATAAATGGTTGGATGTCTAGTTGCAGCCAGTATCAAGTGGAATGTCCCAGGGTCAGTCCTGGGGCTGGTTTTGTTCAAAATCTTCTTTAATTACTTGTATAAGGGGATGGATTGCACCCTCAGAAAGTTCATGGAAGCTGGGGGTGGAGGTATACATGCTGGAGAGTAGGGATAGGGTCCAGAGTGACCTAGACAAATTGTAGGATTGGGCCAAAATAAAACTGTTGGGGTTCAACAAGGACAAATGCAGAATCTGGCACTTATGATGAAATAATCCCTCGCACAGCTATAGGCTAGGGACTGACTAGCTAAGCAGCAGTTCTATAGAAAAGGACCTATAAATTACAGTGGATGAGAAGCTGGGTATGAATCAACAGTGTGCGCTTGTAGCTGATCAGGCTAACCATATACAAGGTGCATTAGTAGGAACATTGCCAGCAAATTGAGGGAAATGATTTTTTTTTCTATATTCGTCAATGGTGAGGCCACATCTGGAGTTTTGCATCCAGTTTGGGACCTCCCACTCCAGAAAGTATGAGGACAAGTTGGAGAGAATCTAGTGGAGGGCAGCAAACATAATTAGGAGATGGGCACGTGATTTATGAGCAGAGGCTGAGGGATTTGGGCTTATTTATTCTGCAGAAGAGACGAATGAGGAGGGAATTGATAGCAGCCTTCAGCTACCTAAAGGAGGGGTTGCAAAAAGGACGGAGCCAGGCTATTCTCAGTGGTGGCAGATAATAGAACAAGGAGCAATAGTCTCACGTTGCATTCGGGGGAGGTCTAGGTTGGATATTGGGGAAAACTATTTTACTAGGATGGTGGTAAAGCACTGGAATGAGTTCCCTTGCAGGTTTTTAAGGCCAGCCTTGACAAAGTTCTGGAATGATTTAGATGGAATTGGTCCTGCTTGGAGCAGGTGGTTGGACTAGATCCGGATTTTCAAACTTGGGTCGGTGGCCTGCTCAGGAAAGTCACTGGTGGGCCTTAAAGACCATTTGTTTATCTGTGTCCATAGGCACAGAGCCTCGCAGTTTTCATTGGCTGCGGTTCGCCATTTCCAGCCAACGGGAACTGTGAGGCTCTGTGCCAATTGATGCTTAGATAAACAGAGTGTCTTGTGACCCACCAGAGTTTTACCTGGGTGGGCCTGTGACCCAAGTTTGAAAACCCCTTAGACTAGATGACCTCCTGAGGTCTCTAATCTCCTATGATTCTATGACTTTGCAATGGAAGTTTCCTAGAGGAAAGAGTTTACTCTTGTATTTAAAAGACTTTGGGGAAAAAGTGAGCATAAAATGAAAGGAATACATATTTGGAAACTAAGCTCTCTTTCATTTTTATGCCGATGGTTTACTGGTTTTGGTTTTATCTTTTTGTCTACTCATCTCCATGACAGGGATTTGGGAAACAAGTGGATGTGTCATATATTGCCAAACATTACAACATGAGCAAAAGCAAAGTTGATAACCAGTTCTACAGTGTGGAAGTAGGTGACTCAACCTTCACCGTTCTCAAGCGCTACCAGAACTTAAAACCTATTGGCTCTGGGGCTCAGGGAATAGTCTGGTAAGTCTCTTCTGTTTCTTTTATTTGTGCTTTTAAATTGGATGTCTTTTGCATCTCTTCTGTGGTTGCTAAGATTGTAAAAGTAACAGTTAAGCACCAGACATCCCTAGATAAAACAAGCCTAGTGTTCCACTAAGAAATTTTGTGTGTGTTGTGAACTGTTGTATTGCATTTGTTTCTTCACAATAGCAAGTGTTAACTAGCAACTGTAATCCTTAGCTGCAGTTGAAATACAAATTATATATCAAACAGACCCTGTAATTTCTACTACGGGTTGTCACTCCCTTAACTGAGACTCTCTGGTCTGGCAACATCTGTGGTCCAGAAGGACCAGGATCACAGAGTCCAGGTATAAGGAGGTCGGCTGCAGGGCAGGAAGGTGGGGGGAGGTGCAGCTCAGCCAAGATCCCCCTGTTGAGGGAGAAGGGCACAGCAGGGAGTTCTTGTCCCTGCTGCTGGGCAGTAATGGGGGGCAGCAGCGGCCACTGAGTTCCAGCAGCCACAGAGTCCCGCCAGCTGCAGAAGCTGTGGAGACTTGGTAGTCACGGAGCTCCAGCCTGGGGAGCCTTGGCCGGGCAGGCAGCAGCAGGGCTCAGCTGGAGTCCTAGCTGGGCCAGCATGAGGCATGTTGGGAGGGGCCTCCCCTAGTTTGGCAAATCCCTTGTTTGGGGCCAGTGAGGTCCCAAGGGTGCTGGACAAGAGAGGTCCAATCTGTACTGGTGCAAAAAAGTCACTGAGATCTATTTAGAAACTAGTTACATCCCATGGCATCTGTGAAACTTTCACACATCTACATGATAGATGTTTTCCTTTAAGTGACATTTCAATGCAATCTGCAAATAATCCACATAAATTATGGAAATGTTATAACTGTTTTTATAAATGTTAATAAAATTCATGGAGTAAATAACCATTTAAATAATCACATTTACAGCTTATGTGACATTTTCTTTTACATTTGTTTCTGCCGTTTTACAGATGATCTTTTCCTTTTGCTTACCAGTTGTTCATAGTGTGAAGCCCTCTAGCCAGGGTACTCAGCATATTTGTTTTAGACAGCAAATAATTCCTCCCACTATTTTGTCATAAATGTCCTTTTCTGTCTATCTTCTCTGACATCGCAGTAGTGTGAATTTAATGCAGTGCTACTTTACCACGAAATAGAATGGCAGAAACACTAACTTTCTTTTAATACAAAGTAGGGATGTAACAGTGTAATCGATTAACTGATTAGCAGAAGCTTATCAGTTAATGCTATAGACTGTACACATTTTCACACACACACACACACACACACACACACACACACACACACAAACACACACACACACAAACACACACACACACCCACCTGAGCATGCTGGCCAGCATCCCGGCTCAGTACTGGCTTGCGCCGGGTCTGGGACCTACCCCTGTTGAGGCTCTACTTTTAAAGAGTATTAGGAGCCAGGAGGGCAGGCAGCCCGGCCCAGTTGCAGCATGTGCCCGGCCCAGGAGCTCAGACTGCCCCACCCCCAGACAGGGGCTGCTGCCACCCCATGCTGCTGCTTCTGTATCAGAGGCAGCAGCATGGGGTGATAGGCAAGTAAGTGGTCCATGAGGGGAGCTTGCAGACCAGCTCCCGCCTAGCACCCCATGCTGCTGCCTTTGATACAGAGGTAGCAGCATGGATTGGCAGGGAGCTCCTTGGGAGTGGGACCAGGGACTATAGAATAGTCGACTAACCGCTAAAAATTCATGCGGTTAATCAACTGTTCAATTAACCAATATTTAACATCCCTAAAGGCAAGTGCAATTCCACTAAAAATTATCCGTGAATAATGTCATCTGTACTAAGGATGTTAAGATGCAATTATGTGGCTAATAATATAGCTGATAACATTTGTATATGATTAGTCGATAAGTGCTTCTGTAGAGCCAGAGTGGATGTAGCTCCAGGAGCCAAATCAAGTTGGGACTGAGCAGTTCTGGCTTGTGCCGGCTCCGAAGCCACCTGCACTGCGGCTCTGCCTTTTAAATGTTGGCTGGGCTCTTACTACAATTAAAATGCAGAGGTGCAATGATCAGCACAAGCCTGGACTGCTTGGTCCCGGCTTGTGCTGAGTCCAGCGGCCCCTGTGAGCTGCAGCCAGGGCTGACCACAGACAAGGGCTGCTGCTGCCTGAGCAGTTCCTGCCCACAGCCAGCCCTGACCTCCGTGAAGACAGTGACAGTGCAGGAGGGAAACGGCTTTTAAGCTGGCTCCCCCCAGCACCAGCTCCCCCCAGCTCCCCTCCCCCCGCCCTTTGTGGCCTCTCAAATAGAGGCCACAAGGGGAGAAATGTAAGTAGTCAACTAGATTAACTGATAAGCTTAGGTTTATCGGTTAATTGTATAGTTGACTTGTTTACATCCTAATACATGCTGGGAGTTGGACTTGCAGATCAAGATCAGCAAAAGGAGACCAGAGACTGGAATTTTCTATAGAACTTTGCAGAAGTTCACCAAAAGAGGGAGCAACCAGTACCGTGGAAGATGTAATCTGATCAGCATTATAGAAGTGCCTGCAGCGGGAACTGGTGCAAGGTCCCCACTTGCACTGTTTCCTGCTGTGCCTCTGCCTTCCCTGCCCCCTGCAGAGACGGTGGGGGGGGACCAGCTTTATCAGTTCCCCCCCAGCATCGGCTCCTGCTCCCCCCCCTTGCTGCCTCTCTCTGATAGAGGCAGCAAGTGGAGGGAAGTGATTAGTCAAGTTGACTAGTTGCTTACATCCCTAATCTGTATCTTCCACCCCTTCCAAGTCTCCATCACAGAACCTATGCCTCTTTCACTGACCAAATTGAGAACTTATTTACTGTTTTATTATATGTATTTTCAATTTTGTTTACAATCATATTTTAGAAAGAAATATAATAATTTATGTATTAAGTGCTTTTATTTGTTTTCCCAAGATATTTTTTCTTCTCTTCCTACATAGTACCTTATATTGTTGTGAAACTCCTTTCTCCCCTCAAATCAGATTTTCCTATGCCTATCAATTTGCTATAAAGTTCAATTATGAGCAACAAAGAACAGATAAAACTAAAAGCATCAAAATCAATAACATTCTGAGATGTTTCATACTGAGATTTAACAGGTAAAAAATCTGAATGCCTTAAGCACCTTCCTTCCCGTAAACAAAGCAACCCAAACACCACCTGTTAGGGCTGTTCCACGCTCTGGCACTCTGAGTACAGAAAATAGGGGCTAACAAAGAGCTCAAAAGAAAAAAAAAACTTTTGCCTCTACAGGCACTAATTACCAAAACTTCCCAGAGTCACAGATTCCCTGGCTCTGAGAAATAAACAAACAAACAAGCTGCCACCATCCAGTGATTTTTTTTTTTAATCATTAAAACCAGGGGTGAACACTTTAACCAATCCCTAGGGTTACCCCAAGTCCAAAAGAGCTTGAAAAGAGAAAAATAAGCTGCAATTTCTGGTAGCTGACCCCTTAGTTGGAGGCATGTGTGCGCGCACACACACACACACACACACACACACAAAATCAAATCATCACCTTACAAAAAGTGATTTTTATTACAAAACAAAAGATAAACTTGATAAGGCATACTTGGTTGCTAGATGTTACAGAGCAACTAAGGAAAACAAATTAAAACACAGAGAAAAGTCTCTGAGCACAATGCAAGGTAGTAAATGGGGAGGGGGAGGCATAAATTCACAGAGTAGTTCAAACCAAATCACAAAATAAAGAAAAATTACCCTAGATGACTAGATTCACTTTTCCTTTTACTTCCAATTTTTTCTTTGTTCAGTCCACCCCTATATCCCCAATTCATTAGAGCCAGATCCCCCAGCTATTTCACTAGGAAACTATTTCACTAATGTAGTCCCCTTACTAAAGGTGCCTCTGATTTTTTTCTGGGAGGATCCTGTGTGCTGCAATCTAGCCCTAGAGACTACAACTCCCATGAGCCCTTGAGAACACCAGGAAAAGAGGGCTTGTCTGGGCATGTTGAGAGAGGGCTTAGCAGTCTGGGGCTCTCCATTTTGGGAGAGGGGAGCCAGGCTGCTGTGGAAGAGCCTTATATCCAGTCCAGGAGCTGTTGTGTGGCAGCTACAGCCTTGGATCTAGCAGGCTGCTTCAATTGCTGCTGATTGCCCTAGGTGGGAGAGACCCTGGCTGTGCCTGTGGCTGCGAAGGGCTACTCAAATCAGCACACAGGAGGAGGCTGTAAGTAAATGAGCTCTTTGTGAAAGTGCTGACTGGGACAGACCTCAGACATATAGATTAACTCTGGGTCCAAAGAGAGGCAGAGTGTTCAGCCCTGTGAACCAGAGTTGCTGGCATTTGGTGGAGCCTGCTCTAGTGGCTGAGGGAGTTTACAGCTGGCTGGTCAGTTACACACACAGAATGTATACAGAACCTCCAATCCAGCTGCAGACCTTCAAGCTCATGCAAGCAAGTGTCTGGGACTCTGAGTCCAGAGGAGTGCATACTCTGGGGTGGGATAAATGGTAGTAGTGCAAATGCCAGATAGATAAGTTCCTATTATTTCTGTGTATTTGTTAATGTTGTTTGTTGTTAATATGTTAAACCCTGTTTCTTTAAGTTAAGTAAAGGTGTGTTAGTTCTAATGTAATCAATCAGATGTATATTATTTATAATTTGTAATTGTCGTCCTGGAGTTAGATCCAGAGTATTGTTGGAATAATTTTATTCCTGGATCAGAGGGGTAGCCATGTTAGTCTGAATCTGCAAAAGCGGCATCAGATGCATCTGATGAAGTGGGTCTTTGCCCACGAAAGCTTATGCTCCAACACTTCTGTTAGTCTATAAGGTGCCACAGGACCTCTCGCCGTTTTTATTCCTGGAGGCTCCCAAGGCACACCATTACGTGTGTACAGGGCCAGCCATGTGGCGGCACCACCATTGTATATTCTTTATGAGCCAGGGGCTGCAGCAAGGGGGTGGCTTGGGAATCCCCAACTAAACAACATCACCACTGGGGTACTCAGGGT